CCAAAATCATCACATTATTAGGCTATTCAATAAAACAAACCGCTTTTGAAAATATTAAACCATTCCAGAGATATTTAAATTATAGCCGGGACCAACATTTCTATACGACCTAATATATATCTGAATATATAATATATGAAAATATTCATTACTTGAACGTCCGTTTGATGATTGCGATGTGTCCATCGACACGTTCCTTGACGGCCGTCACCTGACCATCAGCTGACTGTCTATCACTCAAGGCATCTTTGGCGGTATTAACCAACCCTGTCACACCTTCGATAATATCACCGCTATTCGGTATTATTAGGTTTAAACTGCAAATATATATAATGTCCAAATATTCTAACATTACTCACGAATTATAGCACAATTTATAATACCCTTTTTTAACCGCATAATTCATTTTTGGTTCAACATCATTTTCAATCTAAAAATAAAATGCATGTATTTAAAAATGTAATAAATATTTTTTACTAACATTGAAATCTGTAGAATATTTATTTAGCTTGTTGATAAATTTTTCCTCCTCGATAAAGTGCTCAATATATGACCGGCACTTTTTGTTGGCCTCCCGCAAAAAGCTCAATGTGTATAGACTAAATAAATTGCTACAAGGTAATTTAAATTAATATATCAATTAAAATTAATTTAAATATAAATAAAATTATAATTACTTAATATTAGGAAAGCGTTGATTTCTGCCCAGACACTCATTTATCGTTAGCCATAACTCTTTGCGAACTAGGTCAACACAGTTTAGCGATGGATCAACGTAACGTTCTAGTTAAAAAATTAATACTTTTAAAATTATGTAAAGTCCTTGTATTTATAAAAATATATATATACTCAATTGTTTTTCAATACAACTCCTCAGCGGCACATCTGTAGGATTGTAATAACACTGATAGCCATACGTATTGTTTTCAGCGGTTTTGATGTGATTCTCCATTTCTTCCTCGTTATATGTGAGTAAATCAATTGTCTCGCCGTAATTTTCGTGCATTATTTGCCTGATATTAATACCTCGCGTTTTGCGATCGTCCTGATAGGTCATTAATGAGCCGCCTATTTCGCGCTTGAACTCGGTGTCAAACTGTCCAAGTATATTAAACAGTTCCTCCATTTGTTCATCCTCATTTTGAGGGAACGGTAAACTGTCAATTTCATCCTTCAACTCCTGGTACTTATCCAGGATACCTTTCAAGTATTGAGGCAACGTTTTACTAAGATGCTCCTTGAGTACATTGTGTAAAAATTGTTTCAGATACGTTATTCCATTTTTCGATGCGATATCCTGGTATATATCGGAATTTTTGAAAAACATTTGCTCTTGCTCCAACGCGTCCCTTATGTTAACTTTATCGTTAATACTTTGTTGACTCCGATTCATAACCCCGATAAAACCGTGCTTCAATTTAATTTTGTGCTTATTATTCAGTAGCTTTTTTGCGTGTGTTCCGGCATCCATGATATCGAGCTTCGTTAGCACACCAATTGTCCTATCGCCCTCTTTATCCACTGTACGAGCTAGCTGAATTGCCGGTGAGTTTTGTATATCTACATGATATTTATACAAGATAAACTTTTAATATACTACTTATGCGATATTCTATATCATGAAGGAATTGTGCGAGCCATAAGCTCATCCCACATGTAAATGTGCTTTCATATACAAAATGTGGGTGGTACTTATAAATTAGCTCGCATAACCCCTTCCTCATGTTCTATATGCTTACCTTGATTAGCTCCCGAAACGGCTAATATTAAACAATTTTCCTTTTTTATATATTCCATGCAAATATCCTTGGTCATCTTTTCAACATTATTGTTATCCTCCTCCGATGAGACAAGTGTGATGCCCGGTAAATCAATTAGCGTCAAATCGACTAGATCGGGGCCATATAACGTCAATGTGATCGGTGCATTTGAAAATTTATTTCCTTTTATTAACTCTTTAGTCTGGCTTTCAATTTCATTGTGAATTTGTGTGAAATCTTCAAATGAATCATTCGGTCGGTGCGAAAACACTCCGTACTCTATATATGTATAAACATAAACATATACTCACAAATTAATATTAATTATATCTAAGGTGGCCAATTAAAGTCTCCCACGCATGCAGGCTTACAAACTGTAATTTTTTTTATATATACCTACTTTCTTCATGTAAAAATATTGATTTTTGAAAAATTTAATTATTTGAAGAAAGTAAAAATATTTATAAATTATATATGTATATGAAATTATTTATAAATATTTAAAAAATTAGTTTGTAAGCTGCGAATGTGGAGAATTTGGCCAGCAGTGTATAATAGAGTGATTAATATAAAAATATTTCTAACTTTTATGATTACTCTCGCTATTGTTTAGATGCAATTGCAGCGGTCGACGGGTGACTGTGTCGGTTCCGCGCGGTATGAAATCCTCGCCGACAATCCTCTCGAGGACACTGGATTTGCCCGATGATTGGCTACCGATGACCACAATGTGCGGGAAGTCTAACTGTATTTGAACATCGTCTATTTGCGATAGCTTGTCTTGTAGCTCAATGATATAGTTAAATTCACTACCGAATAATGACATTTTAAAAAACTAGTTCACACACACCTAAATATTGTATTATGCAGATATTTCTAAGCATACATCGCTTATATATGATAAATTATCGCTTATAATGTAAACAAATATTTCATTTAAACGCAGAATGTTTCAAAACTTTTAGTAATAAATAACATTGATAAGTGAATAATTGTGCATAATTGTGTAGGTAGAACCTAAGTAGTTTTAATCAGTTTTAAACATTAGTCATGATGAAATGTAATTGATAATTACATTATAAGCAATAATTTATCATATATAAGCGATGTCTGTTTATATCCGCAATATTTATTATTAAAGCATATACACCGGAATAGGTGTTTACTATTATGTTGAAAAGATTTAAAAGTTGCAGTCAGAGAGTTCAAAATTGCTAATAGGTTTTACTCTACAGGATCTCTTTTGCCCCCCTTTCTGTACTCTTAAGTATAAAAGCTATAAATTGAGCTATAAATATATACAGTATATATGTTATGTGTGTTATTTTACTGTAATATGTAATTATTTTATGGGGAAAAATTCCTTCTCTATAGTAAACATTATATAATGTCTTTGTTATTTAGCTTTATTTCGGCTGATTATATAAAGTAAGTGTTAGATTAGATATACTTATTTCATTCTATATTACAAAACGTCAAAACAGAACAAAGGAATTGGTGGGAATAATAAATAGGTATCAAAATGATAATTATAGTGATTGAACCAAATTATATTGAACCATTGCTATAAAGAATTATATATATGTGTATACATTAGATAAATGGCTTTCATTAGCGCCAATGCGGTATTCATTCATGTCAAAATTTTACATATTTGTATTAGTAAAATTTTGTAACAAATTTAGTATTAAACTATCATTATAAGCATAATGCTTAATATAAAAAGTATTTTTAATATTTTTAAAATCATATATAGAAATTTATTTTATGAATAATGTCAAAAATTCTTATATTTGAATTATTGTAATTTGATGTCTAATAATATTAATGAAAAATGTATTTATACTTTAATATTTATTAATAATTATATATAATACTATATCATACTATATTATAGTGACTTAAATTTATAAAAATAAAATCAAATTATTGTTGTTGCAAATGTATTAATATGTTAAAGTTCTTCACAAATATTATATTACTATAATATAGTACTTGTACTACAGATCAAACTTGAATTGTCACATTTAATTATCTAACCCTTAAACGGTAAAAGAAAATTATTTGCTAACAATAACAATTTATAATGTGGGAAGATTTATGTAGAATGATAAGTATATCTTGTAATTCAAATATCCAACAGATTGTTTAATATGTATAATAAAAGTAATCTTATAGTATATATGAATTTCATATTTTGCTGAAATTGCTAATTTTATTTACAGTGGTATTCATAATGTCGACTTAAGTCTTAGCTGAGTCTCACATTTTAAGTAATTGCTCACCTGGTTTATAAAACACATTTAATCTGACTGCAACTTTTAAATCTTTTCAACATAATAGTAAACACCTATTCCGGTGTATATGCTTAATAATAAATATTGCGGATATAAACAGACATCGCTTATATATGATAAATT